ACGGATTCGCTGGGTGGGTCCCTCAGAATTTGCGCGTCAAACGGATCCACTTGGCTTCTGGCCCGCAAAATTGGGTCCGCATCAACGCTTTTTGCAACGCCGTGGATGTATTTAGCAGGTTGATGTGGAAGTCATGGACTTCAGACCAAAAAGTGACCAAAGGCGCTATTTTAGGAAAACGATGCCAAAAAGAAGTGTTCGCGTAAATGATCAATCCGCCGTGGATTTACCTGAGCATTTGGGAAGATTTTTGCATAGAGATGTAGCTCACGGTAACTATTGTCTCATGGCGACTACCAAGCCAAAAAAAGTTTCAAAACCTATTCAAACTTGCATGTTCTTTTGCGAAATGTTACATCCACGCGAAATCACCGATATTACATGAAAAAAGCTTTTAGAATGAATAGTTGTTTACATTTTATTCGCGATAGCATTGCGCGGTGAGTTTCAAAGCCATTATTAGGCGAGAATAAGTAAGGCATATAGAGTAGAACCAGTGCGAGCCTCTGCGAAGCAGAGGTGACGCACTGGTTCAAAATGACTTCTGAAAGTTACTGACGCTAGTGCGAATACATTACCGAAGTCGCAGTGAACAGAAACATTCCAGTCACTATGAGAGCATTTGCACCAAAATTAGTATATCCAAGACTGGCTTATGAAACGGTATTAGAAAGCGTTTGATGTGATCTATCGATAATTTAGAAGCCATATAAGCACACACAGCCAGGGAAGTCTGCAAGAGAATGTAAGAAAGAATGTTTAGGGCGCGAAACCACTCCACAAACGCAAGAATTTTTACAGACAATTACATGGGCACAAGAACTAGGCAAACATGAGAAGCTGAGCTTGCTTGTCCACTTCTTTGATGTTCAACGGCCGATTAGGGTTAGTGCAACTAGAATGCTAGCAGTTAGTTTATGTTGACTCTCCTTTCCTATTTGATAAAAATCGTTGTGAAAATATTCTCGGCTATTCATGCGGGAACCTCAAGCTTAAAAGCAGACCAGCAAGTATTGCCCAAAATCTTTCCTAGTTTATATGCTTTCCCGGTTTTCTTTGAGCGGTAATTTGAATGTGTAGTTTTCTTTTCGTAAATTTCGTTCACTACTTTCAATAGTCTTGGTCCCGGACCTCTGAAACATCTTTTGCTTCCAAACGTTTGAACTCTAACTTTCTTGTTTAAAAAGCTTTCGCCTTTCTTTGCACCCATCTTATAGCGGAGACTTCAACTTTGATCTACAGTAGAGCAAATCACTGGTCGTTCGCTCTTCATCACTGCAAGATAACTAAAAATTCTGGAGAGAGTTTAGAACCAATAAGAACCCTGTTTCGTCCCAGACGGCGAACAAACAACCTAAAAACTTACGCGCTGGTCAGACTGTGCCATGGTCAGACTGTGTCACTAAATATGAACTTTGCGTTCACCACATTATGTTCGTAAGTTATGCCAAGAAAACAGCAGTGACTGTTTTGACAGTGCCACCCAAATTTGTTATTATAGTTAAAGACCTCTCATCGGTGTCGCTCACATTTATTAGAGAAAAAACGGCTTACAAATTCTAAGAGGTTTGGTAAGGAAATTAGCGAGCGTGAAAACCCTAGTATGCAATTGTAAAAAAAACTTGAAAGACTTTAACCTACAATGACGCTGCAAGCTAAAATTCCTCCTGTAATCCTAAAGTAATGAAAAACAATCCTGGTATAACACTATAATTCTAAAAGGCGCTGGCCCACAATGACGCAGTGAGCTAAAAGTCCACCGTAATCTTACAGTATTAAACAATCAGTGATCTACTCTATACTGTAAATCTGAGTTTAATCTAGCTCGACAATGTATCTGAAGAAAATCGAAAGCTTTCATACAAGGAAGTTATCAGAAACCAAACGTTCGATGCGTAATTTTGGGACCCTGATGGCGAATGTGATTGATTTGGAGACATGCTCGCTAGAGGTGGAACATCTGACATTTATGAATAATTTACTCTTCCAAAAGAGCAAAAGGCAACCTTTGCGACAAAGCTTCTCGTTAACACTACAGCTACAGCATTGCACCATATGTTGTCAAAATTTGTGGCACTTCGAACATCATCTCTGGTACAATACAATAGATTAGCACGTTGGACCGGTGCTACGCGAGGTGCAGCACCGAGTTTGCAGCTATCTCCTGCTTCCTACGATCTGTCTGCTTCTAATTTAAGAACGTCATCCTATAGGCACAAATCTACTGTTCAACATACCCTTCTGGTCCCTAGCTTATTTTCTTGGGACCAGGAAGTGTAAAACAAACGATTGTAAATCGGTGCGCCGTTGCGAACGTCGCGGGTGTGACAGAATCTCCGCGCGGTTCATTTCTGAATTGGATAAATCGCATGTTCAAAGATATTCCGCTCTTTGCAAGGCATAGAAGAATACAAGGACTGATTAGGAAACGCAAGGCATGCCGCACGGATGGCGAAATCAGATTTCAGGCAAGGCAGATTTGACTAATTTTTTTTGGCCCTTAGGGGTTACTGAGCACGATGAACACGAATATGGCGTTGATTTTGTTAAGTAAGCACGATTTTCTGATGTTACAGTGTATGTGGTCTACTGGATTGGATCAAAACTTTAAGAATGGTCAAATCAACAGTAAATAATCCGCTCAGAGCGCACAAAGAGACTCTTTCAGGTACAACAGAGACTATAATTGTGATAAGGGTGCTGAAGAAGCTCCCTAAATAGAGTTTTAAGCAAATTTGAGGTTTCGACTCACGTTCTATGCATCTCACCTTAACCACAGTAGGGCGTTTTTGTGCGGGAAAAGTATAATATTTGTGGTTACCATGTTAGATAACCTTTGGGTATCAAGTTTGCGAGAAATTCACGACTTATACTTTCGGTGGGATTGCGGGGTAGCCATATAGATCCCGCTTTTATTACAAAATGTAGACCACGACGTCAGATGATGAACAGTTTGGAGGTACGCATGATAGCAATGCAAAACAGACTTGGCGCGAATTATGCATAAACCCACAGGGCTTATCAAACGTAGTGCCGCTTGCATCAGCGTCTCCATTCCCGCGCTGGATCCTGCTTCTCTTCCGCGAACATGCTCTCTGATCACTTCCAATCGATTGAGGCTCCGCCTTCCCCACTCTCGCCCTGTTAAAGTGATCAGAGAGTGTGTTGCGCAAGAGACGCAGAGTCCAGCGCGGAAGTGGAGACGCTGATGCAAGCGACCCTGCGTTTGATAAGCCCTTTAGGATGCAACGAAAAAAGTTGGTCCCCAACGTCCTCGTGCTACGCATGGTGTAGCACGAAATTTTACCACGCGTCCAAAACGTGTCAAGGTCTTCCAAAAGTCAAGAAGACAGCATGCTCAAATCTTGGGCCCGGTCATGAGAGAACATAAACGAGCAGCCGAATTAATTTACTTATTTAGTATTCGTCTTTAAATGATGTGCTGTGAAGACGAGAGGTGTGATCGCGATAGTTTTTTTGCCGTTGAATTCTTTCGTTTTGATAATTTAAATCTGTTTGCACACGCGTCGTTCAGGTGGGCGGTTGTGCGCGTAATGCATCATAATTTAAACTTCAAATTTGAATACCGACAGTGGCAATTGTTTTTGCCCATTGTCTTTTTTTGGTTCCTGTTATTCGTTGTTTGAGTAGAACCACTGCAAGGGTGTACGCACAACTCCCCGAGGAAAAGGAAGGGACCAAGACAGATATACTTTCTTTACGGTACAACCTACTACAAAAATGTATGGGTAAACGGCAATAATAGGTCCAAGTTCGCTATCACATTTGCGTAGTACTTTGACAGGGAAAGTACGCATACAAGTTTGAGACTGAATTCCCAGAGGAACTCACTAGCTATCTAATAAAAATCATGAACGATAGGGGATTGAACAGTAAGTCGAAATGCTCACAAATGATTTTTCGACTTACCTGATAAGCGTATAACCTACCAGCAATAGACTGTTTGACAAGCAGGCGATGCATGTTGCTAGTTATAAGCCATTTCAATTCAAGTATATTGCTTCGCATATCCAGAGTTCTATGACATAAGAGCGATTACAAAATAGCATATATTGCGCCCAAATAAAGGTACATTGATATGCTTGATGTAATAAATCGTCTTCAAACGGTGCATGATGCAGAGATCACTACCCAACATTCGATTCCTCCCAATATACGTACATGTGTGATTTTCCCTGCACTTTGATGATAGATATGCACACTAATTTCCATTTATATCTCTCCTAGGTGCTACATCCACCTTATATAAGTTGTTTCTCCAGAACGAAAGCGGCTGTCAACGCCATCGCTTAACTTAAGAATTTCCATCACTTTTAAGAACCGGGTGCTTTAGGATGACTTTTGTCAGCAACAACGAGTCCGATGACAACGCCAACGGTCCTAGAGTGGCCGTGTCCCTCTCTAGAGGTGCAAAGTGGCGCCGCCTATCGCTCCTCCGCCCTCGACGATGGCTTCCACCGCCGTCGGCACCACTATATCAAGCGCTGTTTCTAAGCTTTTAGTGCCACAAACACCTTGTGTGGCAATCCCGGAACAACATACATATTCACATGGGCTACTTCGCTTTTGAATACTTTGAGGTTACTGTGGGATTACTGTAGTGCCGCCGACAGACCTAGAATCACGCGCTTCCCACTTCATGTCAGGAGTCCCAGAAAAGTCAGATATTATCTTGAAGTATGGAAGCTTTCATTCTCTAGAATGCTACACATCCGTCTTATATTCTCGTTTCTGCGAATCTGGAACACTTGACCCAAAATGGTTTTTAGAACGCGATGTCAGCTAAATCTTAACAAAGTTGACAATGGTTTTCTCGGCAGTTTTTTTATTTGCACTTTGATTTCGTCGGTAAACTTGAATCATTTGTCCTACAATTTGAGCGATAGCTTAATTTTTTGGCAAATTCGTACTTGCAGATCAATCGCAACGATATTTGTGAAGATGGCATTTTAGGAATACTTGTGATTGTTTGCTTTCAGATGTTTTTATCAAAAATAGCTGCTGTACTGTGGACTACCGTTATGGCAGTGAAGTATCCTAATGAAATTTCGGAAACTCCATTAGTCTTATGCGAACCAGAGCGGATAGTAGTCAAGGTGAGTTCAGACTGGTTTAAAAAGCATGTACAAAAAGAGGAATGCTTTTGTGAAGCTTACTGTAATGGTTTTATTGAAATTCTTCAAGAAATGTTAGTCTTTACAAGATTTTTGGTTACGCTTTCATTTCACCATGCGGTAAAGTCATGTCTTGTGCAAGTTTCTTGCTAGTCTAAAGAACTCTTTCAATTTAGGTAATTTTGCAAAAACTCACACACTTTGAGTAAAGAAAGTTCTTCAGTGAGCAAATTTGCTTATTGAGGTTTAGCTAATTAGAATGAAAACGTCGAGAAAGGTCGTTAACCTCAGTTTCGAGAAAGTGAACAGGAAAGGCGGCAGATATTGTGGGTTCGCATATAACCAGTGGGGTGAGCGATGTGAGCGATTAACTGATAAATTTGCAATGATAGTGTTTGCTGTTCTGCAAACCAGGTTTTTGGGTGGAACACTGCAAAAAGTCTGCACCGGAAATCTGGAAATGAATAAAAAAAAAATGAACGCGTGACAATAACGGATCTCCTGCCTCTGCGACGCAAAACCGCACAGTGTACGTAGTTGTTCACTCATAAAACAGCTCAAGTGATGTCCGTCGCATTGCACTACTGACTCTACGGTTAGAGTTTGAAATATTTTGGGCTGTTTCTCGGTACATTGCGGGGCTCTAACGACGGAAGTTTGAGGCGTTTGATAACATATAGTTCATTCATAAAATCGTGACAGACATACGGACATTACTGCGGACTTTGCGCCCACATAAGCATAAAACGCTCATACAAGAAGCCATTACCCAGAACGTTTAGCTCACTCACTTCCATTGTCTAAATATTATCATACGTACGCGGAAAAACCATTCGAGTAGAGATGGAAGCCAAGAAAATGCGATTTCCGGAAGCGGCGTGCGTGTCGCGCGCGGTCACGCCATCGTCACCATTTTTCAGAAGCCCTATAGTGCCCTAATTCGTCCGCTAAATATCGTTCCATCTGAAAATCTCCATAAAAACTTTTGTAGGGGTTTTTGAACCATGCTTTTTTGGTGGGAAACAGATCAAAGCCTCTGACATCACAAATGAATTGATCAGAGTTTTCTTCTAGCTGTAATGGACAGTTATGCTTCAATGTGGCTAAGTTTCCAAAATCTCGTTTCTTCGGCTTTAAAAGCTTCGTTTTCATGCTGTGCTGCTTTTCATGCTTATACAGAGATTAGTAGTCTGGTATTTGTATACAAACAAGTTTTCCCCATCTGGCGAATTACGATAAGAACTTTAATCTGCCATTTTGAGAACATGAAAAAACGAAATCTTCTCACATTTGCGTACCACCAGGAAATTCGGGTATCTCACTCTTTGCGCATTTTTTCCATAGGGGAATGAACTCCTTCAAAATAAAATTCACTTTTGTTATCATTGTTATCATTAAGTGCTCTTTCCAATACTAAATAACAGCCAAAATCTGTTTGCACTTATTTGTAGGAGCCCCAAATTCGACCGAAAAATTTTCATTAGCCAACCTATTGATATAACTGCGATTGAGCTAGAAATTTTTTTATACAAAATTTCGAGTATCTTCAGTTCTTCTCACAGAAACACGTCAACTTTTTTCTGTTTTTGACAATTTTTTACGCTAATGCCTCGCTTCAAATACTTGATCAGCCACGAACTTATAGAGTTTTCCTGAGTTCCATTTCGTCTCTCCCTCATTTTCATTTTGGGGCCCTCTTCGGCTCTACAATAATTAAAGGGGCTTTTATTTCTGAGGCGGCAGATTTTTAATGATTAAGTAAAGATTCTACATTTGCAGTGATTATTTCATAAGGCATTGTGAAAAAATGATGAGTGATTCAACTCAATAAAAAAGCAGTAGCTTTGACTTTATCTAGCAACTTATTTCATTGAAAACTTAAGAAATCTGTGATAACCAGAAAATATTGTATGTAGTTAGGTTCTACACTAAACTTTTGGAAAATTCAAATTGATTTTGAAACGAATGGTATATGACATAACAACATGTGGTATACCGTACTGTTTGGCTGAATTTTTCAGATTCGCACTACCTCATCAAATCCTTCACACATCTATGCTGATGATTTTGCTGATGATCCAGATTGTTCATCTCGGAATATGAATAAAATCTCATTACGACATGGAAAATGTGGTATGAGCACTGAGCGAACGGTAAGTTTTTTTCTGAGTTTTACTTTTTTTCAAAAAAAAATGTTTTGAAGGATAACCCAGCCGGAGTGATTCAACGCGTATGCATATCCGTTCAATTACATCCATTATTCGTCACCGAATCGGACAGAAGCTATTGTGCTCAGTGTGTCTACGTACAAAGTCGTGTCCTTGACGATCTTGAGTCTTCGCTGGACATCAGGTGCCCCTCCCCTTCTTCGAATCACATTAACCTTCTCGGTTGTGGGCTCTAATGGGCTAAACGCGATTTCTTTGCAGCGAAGCGCTACCGACCGAGCTTGCGCCGACTTTCGACGTGGAAAAGATTCCCAAGTGCACTTATACCATTCGAAAAGGCTCCGAAACTGGACCAGAGGTGCGCTATGCCACCGTCGGCGAGAGTGTCTATCATGTATGGAAATGTCCAGGAGGTAGATTCTTTTGTTGACAAAATCATACAAATTTTCGTGAAGCCTTGATGTGAAAAATTTTAGAAAATACTGGAATTCTCGTACAAAACTGTTATGTAGAAGATGGACAAGGCAACAGAATTCTTGTAATTGATCAGAATGGTTGTGGAGTGGATCAATATGTGATGCCAACACCAGAATACAGTGAGGATCTGACGACAGCTTTCCAGGTGGGATCCATTGGTGGAATGAGGGGGAGGTGCCGAGATAGGTCGTGAAATTTCTGCAGTTTACTTAAATGGGTTATGAAAATGAGCAAGTAACTTGTTTATTCTTGTAAATAATTGAAATAATTTTTGAAATTTTCTGAAAATTCAAATTAGCCTTGGAAGAAAAATTTTTTCGGAGGCGTGGCTGCTGCCACGCCCCCGTTTCCTAGATTCTAGGGGTTATGGACACGCGAAAATTTTGAGTAGCACCCGAAGAAATTTTTCGGAGCGAGTGTCTAATGCCACGCACCTATTTGAAAAAGTTCCCCCCCCCCGGGACGGAAATTCTGGACCGCCGCTGAGACCATACCAAATCCCCCAACTGGATGCCAATTTTGAATTTAGATACTGATTGTCTTAGAAAGCTTATTAGGATAAAATTGAAAAAACACGGCTGTGGTAAAAATGTAAAAACAAAATTCTTTGAACTCGTAGATGAGCTTCTGTAAAATTCTCTTCCACTCCTTTTTTTCACCCATTAAAATCTACCTTTCCCGTCCCTGATTTCGCAGTATCATCTATCCCAATTTTTATAGAGCCTCAATTAACACATGCTAAAATCTGGATCAGAGAATAAGGCAGCCGAGAAGTATAAAATTTCACTCCCCTACCCCCTCCTCAACTTCTTACTCTCCCTTCCTCTTAGGAAATCTTTAGGCTTTCGAAATCATTTTACGCCAAAAAAAACAAACCTGGGCAATTTTTATAGTAACTCTAATTTTTCTAGTTCCAGTCAATGAGGGTTGAGAAATTTGAGGAGCAGATCTCACTCTTATTTTTCTTGATCTCTTGACCTCAGTCAGGCTCGAAAATTATCTTCTTTTCAGGAAACCCATGTCTTCAAATTTGCTCAGAAAACTATTACACGATTCATTTGTCAGATTCGGATCTGCTTACAAAGCGATGAATGCAAAAAACTTTCGGTTTGTGATATTTTTAGCAGTTATGTATTGACCCTGAAGTTCTGTTGGGTCTCTTTTTCAGCCTCCATCAACATGTCCAACGCTAGAAGAACGATTAATGAATACAAAGGTAGAAAGATCGGAGGACGAAAAACCATTTCAGCGAGCTAAAGAGTTGGGCTAATTTTTATTCTGCTCTAAGCTGAGAATAATTGGAGTCATTTTTTTTTCATTTTAGCCAAAAACCATTCCCGGTTGATGACTCACGATCATCCAAAGAAACAGCGCCACCCTCGGCTCAGCCGGTTCAGGATATTAAGCGGAATGCTAACGCTACTCTTGGCAGTATATACTTCGGTTATAGGTAAGTTAAAACCAATGCAAGGAAGAAGACGTTCTGGTGCCGGCTGGCTTCGTCAGTATGGACATCTGCCAGAAATCGTGCATCTCAACAAACACTAACCAGTGTCATTTGTCCGTCTGAGCTGGCGAAATCGGCGGCTAGGCGTACTTTTTCCCATTTCAAAGGGCAATTTTTTTTCTGGGGTTGAAAAACAGTTCTCCAGCTACGATTCCACGAGAAGTCGACGAGAGCTGTCCGAACCACGAGTATCTACGACTAAAGGCTATCCTGAGGTTGACCTTGTGGGTGAAATTCGGGTACTGGACTCACCCGAAGACGTCATGTACTTTGGTAAGTAAAAAGACAATGATGAAAAGTTTCCTCTGCCAAAAAACTGGTCTGTAAAAGACGACTCGTTCACTTTCATCGGGGTCGGAGGGCTTTCTACAAAAAAACACATTTCAATTGTGCGAATTTCGAAGTGGAACAAGCGCGCGACAATAGTGATTTATGAAGAGCGCGCACAAGTGGACGAGTTGTCCTTTTGCGGCGAGAAGCGGGCCCTTTTATCTCGTCCGTCTTTGACAATGAAAAATCCTGTATTTCCCAAAGGACTAAAACCACCCCTTGAACTTTGATCTACCATAATTTATTATTTCAGAGCGCAAAGCAAGCGCGATACAAGGTGAATGTGTTTCAAAAGTGGCTTACTCCCTCGTCGTTGCAGCTTTGGTGATTGTCTCGATTCTGTTCATAATGATGGTGCTTGTTATAGTATTCAAAACGACAAACTACAGAAATAAGATTATACGATTCGAAAATTGAACATAGTTTATTATCTGTTTGTACATTGTGTTACTTCAGTGCAGTATTTATAAATGATGTTCAATGAGTTTTGTGTAGTGCGTCAGCGTCAGTTAAAATATGTTAAATTCTTTGGTCAAAGGCAGCGTCCACACAAAATTTCGTCTTCCATGTTTTTATTATGGCCCTTTCCATGGCGCTGATTTCAGATATAAGGTTCAAATTACCAGGAAGCTCCAGAATTGTTCCTTTCTGGAGCCCTATTTGCAGACGCGGACGAGTGCTCCGGTGCTAGTCAAGTCGTATGCAACAGAAAACCTTGTCGTATGCAACAGTGCCCATCACAAACTATGCGTCTCGACGTTGCCTATCATGTCAGAACACGTCACGGGGCAATCCATAGGTGAGTGGAGCGCAAAAAAAAAAATGGGCGGAGCGCAATGACGATCCAGATAGGTCCGTTATCTCCTTTCGTAGGCAACGTTGAAAGACCGAACCAACGCGGCTGATCTACTTTGAGGGCTTGCTAGTAACGTAATTAATCCGAAGAGAATAGATTTTGGGTGGACGCTGCCTTTAAAGGCAGTGTCTCACCAAAATTTAGCTGCCGAGATTTTTGCATTTTGCAGGCCTGTCGGACCCTGTCTAGCACTGTATGGGCTTAAAATCGCATAAAGTTCCCAAAAACCCCGTTTTCTGGGGGCCCCACGGAAGCAACGCGGACGAGTTGTGCCTTCCAACTTCAGCCACATCCACAGTGGCAGCAACAGAGGGGAGGTGGATGCCAAGTGGAGGGACATGTTCAAACGCGTAAGGGGGGAGACCGAAGGAGTCGTCCGCGCGTACCAAGTCCCTCTCCGCGTACCACTTTGAACGAATTTTTCTCAGCATGGAGAAGGTCAAATTGAGTGGGACTTGTTGCATTGGCCTATTTAGAGGTCCCTATAATAGAGTATGTAAAGATCCGCGCGACCTCAACTTTGGTGAGACACTGCCTTTAATGGATGCTAGCAAGATGAAATTTAAAAGCAGTGGAATTTGAGCAAAGCTTGATAAAAAATGATTTGCAAAAATATGTGCAACAATTTGATAATCTTTGTCCTTTGTCATAACTGATTAGTTCAAATCTCATACTTGATCATTTACAGCGAAAAATATTTAGACCTGAAGACAAATTCCTCAGCTTCCCATTCTACAACAATCGCAACGTATGGAGAAGTTGACGCTTATCTATTTCGCAGTGGCTGACCGAGGGGAGGTGGAAACTTTCCGAGAAAACCTCCTGGAAGGTCGTCTAATTCAAAGTCCCTACACTCCCTAAGTGGATATGGGAATGATGGCCGCCAATTCGAGACGCCTTTCGCTGACAACTGCCCTTTTGCAATGTTGTTGCATGTCGTCCAGGAGCAGTATCCGCGGAGGCGGCCCAAACTGGCGGCCTTTGTAACCCTACCCAGCCCTCCCCTACATTCAAATATTTTCCCGGATCAGCGCTGGTGTTAACCGGCTGATAGCTGGCTTTCAACAAAATAAGACACATCTCACTTTTTACTTCAGACAATATCCAAATCGCGCTCTTTCCCTAACAAAGACTTGCAAAAAAGACTGTCCATTATCCGTCACCACTTCAACAACAAGCCTAAATTTGTGTCGAATATAATGTTCTTTTGAAATTACGGAAGTAATGATTTTTCACGCAATTACTAGGGGACGTCGAGGTTTTATTACAATTTCAATTTGAGTACATACTGCCCCATTTTTTGCAATTCCTTTCTTGCTCAGTGGAATTAGAAAAAACGCTCCATTGAGAAGCGAAGTTTTTTACCTGATTCGCGGTAACGTTGTTAACATTTTCTGAAAAAAAATTTCAGAAAAATATAAAAAGTAGCGAAAATAACTTAATTTCCTAAAAATTTGGTTCACTGTTTCCAACGGATTACCGAAGATAAACCCTTACTTCCTCAGAATAGTAACAACCATTTAGTAAGTTCCGCAAACTAAAATTTAACAGGAACCTAGAATGAAATTATTGGCTGAACGCTAAACAATAACTTGGAGCTAAATTCGCAGTAATGTTGAAAACAAGGCAGTAATATGCAGAGAAATACTATTCACACCTTTCCGTATTCATGATCACACAACGAGTAGAATACAAATATTTTTTTGTGTCTCCAGCGGTACTATTTTTACCATTGGCTGTTGCTGAGCAAATGTTAAATTTTTTATTATTTTTATGGGAATGAAATTGAAAATACGCACTCAAACTTCATAAAAATTTGTTAACTAATAACTTCTCAAAAACCAGCAGCCAAGTTTGAGAACCCATTGCTGCGATTTGCCAATGTTGCGATTTCGAGCTTTACGGCATGCAAACAAGATCGGCCCGAAGAACCTGGACGACAGCTAAAATAATTCGATTTCAATAAAAGGTTATTTTATGAGCAGTGTGATCAAGAGGTTGTCATTCTACTTATAATTTTTGCAGCTCACACAGAAATAAATTGACTGTGTTTATGCAAGCAAATCCAAGTAAACCAACGGCGGGCAGTCCATTGTATTTTTTTGGCAGATTTTTCATCTGCGTCACCCTTACCTGCTTTACCTGGGGTCCGTGCTTTTTCATAAACTTTTTCGCAAGCTCATCTTCTGTAAGCGACCTACAAGCATTCTGCTCAAATATACACACGATAAACTATGAAGCATACTTTTTGTAGTTGCGTACGATAGCAACTCCCGCTCCATTGTCCATAGTATAGACGCCTTCTAAAGTTTTGTTTCTGACCATAGCGGTAACCATTGGTTTGAAACTGCATTCGTAAGTCTAGAAAAGCTCAGGATTGTAGTCTCATCGAGAATTTCCACAGAAAGTGGGTTGCTGAGTTTAGATTTCTGGTCGTCTGACTCTTCATACAAACAAGGCCGACTTTTCGATTACTGCCGTTTCGGATCAGAGCCTTTTTCGCTTTCTCAAGTTTACGACCCTCCCGTGGGTCGTATTGTCCAAAACGGTAGTTTTTTGAAAAATATCCCCAACATTTCTCCGAGAATATTCTCAGAAGGATTATCGAAGGCGGATTACTAAAATATGGTTTGTTTCAGTTTTTGGCATTATACGATAATGTTACGGCAGTCATTCTGTACGAACCCAGGATCAGGGATTACCATGAAAAATTGTGTTTTGGGGTTATTTACGCGCTGACATCATAGTGTCCACTTTGTTCGCTATTGTCCCACTATGGGGCTAGGTAGCAGTACGATAGAATTTTCGTAAATATCAAAAAACTGACGTAATATGGCGGTATTAGAACTTAAGACTATCATTTTCGTAATCAGCGTGCCACAAAACCTATATATGTAAACTTCGAGTTTGGGATGAATAACGCAAAAAATCAATAAAATCAATGAAATCGCTAATTTTTTTATGGGCTAACATCAGTCTCTCGCCCGTACATTATCCCTCGTACATGTACACTTAGATTTTTGAGATCATCATTCTGCAAAGAATTTAAGCTAAAGTCTGTGCCTTATCTCTATTTACGTAACCCTAACATTACATTACAGTATCCCGAGCCCGGACCACTCTGGCTGGAGCTTCGCCTAGCTCTTCCTAATCATGTGCCAGAACCCCGTAGAATTCCATCGTAAACTGGCAATGCCTTAGGAATCTTTCGACATACCGGTGGGCGTAGTGTCCGAAATGGCAGAACACGTAAGACCCACCGGTGGGTCGTAATTTCGTGGATGTGTTGAATGTTTCAAAGTTGATAGACCAACCAAATATGTAGCGAACTGTTCCCAAGCCGCCTTTACTATTGCTCGATTTAGTGCATTGGGCTTGCAAGCGGATCCATGTATAGTGTGGACCCCGGCCAGCTTCTCATAGGTACCTCCGCGACGCGCCCGCAGCGCATGCCTTTAGTGCGCTTTCGTTTCTGCTTCTAATGAATATTTTTATGTTTTTCTCTCTAAATTGACGTTGTTATGTTTGTGAGCGCTCTATTTTAGGTAAAGGCAACTCACAACAACTGCGATAATGGGTTTTTACGAGCCTCAACAGGCTTGAGAGCCTTTGTTTCACAAGTTCCACGTTCTTTTCTCAATAACGAAGGCTCTAGCATGTTATAGTGAAATACTTTCCCAAAGGTTTTGATTACAGAGTAAACGTGCCTATCCTGTTGATTTGTAGAGTATAACTGCTTCTAGTTCTTTTGTAATGCGTCAATAGGGCTGTGCTTGTACGATGTGCTCTCTAACTTACGGTTTAATTTTTATGACCACAGAAGGAAACCCTCGAAGTCTCGAAAATGATCCTCTGCTTTTTCTTCTTCTGCGATTTTCAATCACCGGTATCTTCATATTACCAATCATGAGACTGACTGATATCTGGGCGCTAGTGAGAGTTGCGAGCGCTCTCCTTTTGCTTAGGTCTTTCTTAAGTTGTGATTAGTGGCTTCCACTGCTTATTTCGATCCTACCTCAAGTAGAAATGCTTTTTATCGATAGGTGAAACGAGAAGCGTAAAGCCGAGCGCGCGTTGCGTATGCGCCGCGGCGGTACCTATGGGAAGCTGGCCGGGGTCCACACTATACCTGCTTTGCTAGAAGAGATGGTAGTGCTAACTGAAATCAAGATGATTTCCCTGGAAGAAAGTAGGTATAGACTTACCCAAAAAATGATTAGGAGTTCCTTCATTGCGTAGTCATCGCACATTCTAATGTAGCAAACCTGTGCGCACGAAAATGGTTGACAGCTTTGAGGTTTTTTGTAATGATTTTCGCTATTCTGTTCCGAACATTGAAGTGTTATTATAGGCCTCAACGAAACGTTCTTTATTTAGTCTTACACCTTTAGAACAGTTCTTTCATTTAGTGGTGCTACTTTCCACAATTCAATCTAAACTTTCCAAAGAAATACTTATTTTAATTAATCTAATGTTTTCATGAGCGTGCATTCATCAAAAGTATAGAGAGAGCTGTGATGGCGGATAATCAGTCAGAAACAATCCTTACTGCTCCAATTGA